CTATTTGATTGTATTCTAAAATTATATGGGCTCACTTGCTTCTTTCAAAGTACCTCTGTATCCAAACAGTTCCAAGTCTCCTGAGTCAGTTGTACAACAAACAAATCCAACTACTTCATTCTCTACCTTCCTATGACTAAGCTGAGGGTCCTGGGATTGTTTAATGCATTTGAATGTTATAGTTTTCTCATAGGTTTCTGGTTCATGTAAGCACCATGAAAGTATTTGAGCTATGAATGTTATAAAGAAAAAAAAAAAGCAAAACCAAAAACTTGTTTACTTGCCAGATAATATTCTGCCTTAATGAAACATACCGAGTCTTTGAGATGCTTAAGTACACAGATCTGTGCTGAATTGGCAACCCCTGATAGGTTCTAGTGAGTATTTTCAGGAAAGAGCCATATAAGCACATCAAGTAAAAAACCAAAACCAAAGCAACCAAAACAACTTAAACCAACAAACACAAAACACCCAAAAGACTTAATGATCAGGTTTCCAAAGACTGACAAGCTCTCACCCTGAACTCTTACAGATAAAAGACAGTAACTCTTTCATGTCCATGTTTGTGGTCTGTGACTCAAGCAAGGTAGCTTGACTTGTATTAGCTTGGAATGGAAGCAGATCAAACTAAGCTGATTTGCTTCACATTTGCTTCAGGCCAAGCTTGCACTTAAGCAATTTCTGTGGGAGAGCTGATACCTGATAACTTGACCAGGTGTACTAAGTGTTGTGTGATTGTGTACATCTAAATTTGCTGCAACCTTTCCTCTTCAACAGCTCTCTGTCCCTTGAAATACTTAAACTCTTTAGCACCTTGCTGCCTCCCTGTTTTACCTGGATGAACAGAATCATGGAATGGGTCAGGCTGGAAGGGACCACAGTGGGTTATCTGATCCAACCTCCCTGCTCAGGCAGGGCCATCCTAGAGCACATGGCACAGGATTGTGTCTGGGCAATTCTTGAGTGTCTCCAGTGAGGGAGAATCCACAGCCTCTCTGGGCAGTCTGTTCCAGGGCTCAGTGACTCTCACAGTAAAGAAGTTCTTCCTCGTGTTCAGATGGAACTTCCTGTCCTTCAGTTTCCACCCATTGCCTCTTGTCGTATTGCTCGGCGCCTCCGAGAAGAGCCTGGCTCCATCCTCTTGACACCTTCCCTTTGGATACAGCAGGTGTCCAAAAGAGTGTCATCCCATCCAGACATTACTGTTCTGAATTATGAGCGTGTTTATCTTTTGAATTAGCTTTACTGTAGGTGTTGAGTGCAAGGTAATGTCTGTAATTTCAGGCTGCACAGGCTTTTGCAGCTCCAGTGGTCATTACTGGAGAATCAGACTTTTCTATATAGTTATCGACAGCCTCAGGTTATGAGTAAATGTGTTTGGTTTGGTGGCAGTACCAACATACAGTTCTGCCCACATTTCAGTGCACCACAGGAGTTTGGAGTGTTGTGCAAGGAGTGGAAGAGCATGAAATGTGAAGATGTCTGCCAGTATCCCAGATGGTATTTGCAATCCCATTTTGCAGACCACTCAATTGACTATGGGATCTAAGCTGTATTGCATTGTAAGATTATTTGGGGAAGTTCATGACATGCTTGAACTTCTGGTTTTTAAGCTGGACAGTGCTGCCAGAAAGCAGCCTTATTGGAAAATGTCACTGTAAGGCCTGAATACAACTTGTGCCTTAACACTTGCAGCAATACTGTATCCTTGCTTGGTTATAATGTTGGGGCTGGTGTGTGTTGTCAAGCCTTCAGAGACTGTGGTCAATGAATTTTTTACATAGTGGGCAATTTTGAGCAGAATGCAAGACGTAACTCCTTAGTGCAAGATGTCCTGATTGCTTTACCTGAGCTTGTCAGGAGTGGCAGTGATGATGAGCCTGTTGTGTGTAGTGTCTGAGTCTGGGAGAAGGGCAAGAAGAGTCTTAGAGGAGGATCCCCATCAGAGGTGAAACTTCAGGAGGAAGATGGTTGTGTCCATGAAGGTCTGTATGTGTCCTCTTACATGATGCAAGAGACAAATAACATTGAGATTCTTGCTGAGCATCAGGAAAGGGAGCTGCCCAAGTTCCTCAAAAGCTGGTGGCCATTGCCTTATTCCTCTCTGGGTCAGTTTGGAATTGAATAACAACAGCCAGCTCTGTAGCCTGGGATACTGCAGCAGAATACCAAAAGCTCTTGGTTTGGGATGTCTCTGGGTGATGCATCTGTGGCCAATAATGGCAGGTTTCTTAGCCATGGGATTCCCCAACAGTGTTGTTATTGGAGAGACCTGCTCTGCCTCTGACCAAGCACGATCCACCAGTGACAGAAAGGGATTTTATTTTGTCTACAGCAGGCTGGAGAGCTACCATGGAGAGCCTTATTGTGATCAGTGCTGCAGATCTGGTGTGTATCTTCCACAATGCCAGCTTGTTTAATGGCTTACAGGAGCCAAGCAAAAATATCAGGTCTGCAGCTTCATTAAAATCATAAAACCAGTGCTTGGCACAAACTGACCTAGCTGAGCAGCCTCAGACAGACCTGCCTTGTGAAGATAGGCAGCTTCACTTGCCAAAAGCTGTTCTGTTATTGCCCTGGCCGTTGCTGGCTGTGGATTGCTACAGATTTCATGTGTAGCAGTAAGAATTGGACTGCAGTCCAATGCAAAATCCAATTCCTGATTTCTGTTTGGGGTTTTTTTCATACAATCAGGGAATTACTTTGGTGAAAAGGGATCTCTGCAGGTTCTGCTCAAGGTAGAACTGATGCAAGCAGATCTTCAGGGCCCTGGGCAGCTGAGTATCGTCAAGGTCTGAAATCCCATGTGCTTTCTGGACCCCTGCCCCAATGTTTGTCCACCTTCATGGCAATGTTTATTTTCCTCTCCTTACTGAATTGGGAATTTCCAATTTTCCCAACTAGCACCTGTTCCCTTTCACTGTTCATCTCTGAGTAGAGCAAGGGTCCCTTTCATCCATACCCATGAGGTACTTGTAGACAGCAATAAGGACTCTTGGCCTGTTCTTCTTGAGGCTGAGCAGACCAGTTTTTCAGCCGCCCTTCAATACAGCAAGTGTTCCAGCCCAGTTTGTCTGTGTCTTTTGTACTGAGGGCATCCAAAAGTGGATAGAGCACTCCAGATGTGGTCTCACAATAGTCAAATATGGGGACAGAGTCACCTCCCTTGAGCTGTTGGCTGCAATCTTGCTAGAGCAGCCCAATGCGTGGTAGCCTTTGCTGCAATGATCTTTTCAAGTAGGTGTTGTAATTGCATGAGCAGGTTCTGGCAGCACCTGTGACATTGTCAGAATCTCCTATAACTCTTTCACCTGCACACAATCTCGGTACAGTGTGGCAGCTCTGTGGAAAGCCTTTCATCATTGTTTGCTGCAAATGCGTGTGAAAGTAAACATTAAGATGTTCTCTTTCGATTAGGCATGCAAAAGATCAGGCACCACTGCAGTATGTGCTGCCTTTGAAACAGTTTACTTCTCTGCTCTGAAGGAAAAAGCTCAAGTTTCTAGCGCAAAACCTTTATTGTGAACAAATATGTAATAGTTGATTTGCAGACCCAGAATGGTAACTATGCAGAGCCAGGTGGCAGAGCCTGTAGTAGACCGGCAGGTACAGTTAGGGCAGTGCACTATACCCTGCCTCATGTGTTGCTGGTTTCTGGCACCTCTGGAGTGCAAGGTAAAAGCTCTAATGGGTAAGGTGTGGAACAAGGGCCAAAGGATCGAGGAGCACAATGGTGTGGGCCATGCTAAAGGGGCAACAGATGCTGCTAAAGATACTGCAACACGGTACTCTGCTTCTCTCATCATTGCCACTTTCTTTTGGTCTTCATCCTGCTCCATACCTATGTTTCTGTGTGATGTGTTGACAGTGAATGTGCTGCTGCCTGGCTGTGATCCAGGAGAGTGACAGATCAGTCCACCTACTGCAAAACTACATGTGGTCACTTCGACTGATGTGTCTATTACCCTGCCTCCACTCTTACATGACCCTTGTCTGAAGCAGGGACCTATTTTGCTTCAGACTTGAGTGGAAAAAAATATGTTAGTGATTGTTTATTCCTATGGCAGAGGAGCATTCAGTCAACAACAACCAAATGTTGGTATGCACACAGTTTTTCTGTTCTAAATCCACTTCTCTGGGTGTTGTGCATCTTGGTGACAAAAAAAATGTTATAGCACATGTGTCACAGCAGGTAGATGCTGCCTACAAGCTCACAGAGGGGTACAATACCAGGGACCCAGCCTTTAGGTTATGATAGAGTAATTGAGCCAAGAGCAGTAACAGCTGGTGACCGTTTGGAAAGAGGTTTAATCTTGAGATCCTACCATGAACACAGAGAGGTTTAGGTCTCACACTTCTGGGGAACTGGAAACACATTTCAAAAAAGGATTTTTTCTCTAAGACACATTATTAGGTCAGTAGTGCCTGAAGCAAGTCTTTGCTGTTGTGTTCTACACTAAACACAATTTTGTAACTCGCATAAATTTCTACCCTGCACTTTTTCTACCCCAGTTCCTACTTAAACTGTTAATTTTTGAGGGGCGAGGGAGGGAGGGAAAGCAGGAAACCATGGAACAGATTATGGAGACTATTACTACTGATCATATGTTCAAATCAGATCTCTCCTCAGTTACTGAAAAAGAGAACTGAATACACTCTGCTGGCCAACTGTCTGCAGTTAAGAAATCAGTGTCAAATCCAACTCTTCTGGTTCTGACTGAAGACTCTGATTCTGGGAAAAGCTTTCCTTTCTTGGTCTGTAGAAAAGCACCCAAGGAGGGTGAGCACTGGCAGGATAGGATGGCATTGCCACCTCTGCATGTCAGTACAACAGCAGTGTGGATGGAGTCATTAATTTAAAAGACATTCTGGGTTTTTTTAGAAGCAACTCTGGGATGACATCTTTGGTGCTGCTGTCATGGTGAAATAATAAGCATGGTTCCTAAGTGATTGACAGAAAGTAGGCTGAAGTCTGGAAAATACATTGCTAATAACTCTTCTTTTCTCTGCATACAGGGAAACAGCTGGATGGCATCTGGTAAGTGACGAGCTTTAAATTGCATAATGTGTGGAACACTGTGTGGTGTAGGAAGTATTTTCAATATATTATATATGCTTCAGATCTTAAGAACATTTTGTTGTGGAAGAGAGGCCAAGGCACTTTTTGTTCCTGGATATAGATTGATGGTAAGACAATGTACAGTCAGGTGCTGGTTAAACTTCTCTGTTCCAAGCTCAGTGGAAACCATGGAAATAAGTGTTGGTAGTAGTTACTGCGTTTTAGTGTATCTGTACACTTTTTCAAGGATAGGATGTTGTCCTTGTCTCAAGCACTTTGTCTTGTAATTGCTGGCATGATTAAACATGTGAGTTAAAGAGTAGGTGGGAAGAAGGTATTACAGTATCAGGCCTTCTGGCACAGAAGAGCAGTGTCTACGCTCGGTTACAAAACATCCCTCGGTTTGCTATAATTCATATCAAGAGTTTTGATATTATATCAAGAGGGTTTGGTGGGGTCTTTTTTAAAGGCAAGAAAAACCCCAAACCTTTGTCTATCCTTTTTCCTCTCTATTGATCCATCTCCAGTGTTTGTCTGACCAGGTTCTCAGCCAGTGTCTGTCAGACATGCACTATCATACCACTTCTGTCAGTATGGTAGCAGGGCTAGCTCTGTCTCTCTGATTTCACCCTGTTACCTGAGAGAATCTGCTGGAGATTTTGTGCTGGTGTCCTCTGTTCCTTCATGCCTGGACTCCTAGCCAAGCCTGTTCTTTCCCAACCACTTGCAGAGTTACGGGAGGCTTGGTAATCATTGCTTCCATATCCATTCATGTCTCTACAGATCCTGTTCTTACTTGCAGAAACTCATCGACCTTTTCTTTCAGTTATTCCCTTCATGATGTCTTTGAGCTTATAAATTGACCAGTGATTTATGTGCTAGGCTATTTCCTTTTTTCCTTTGTTTCACCTGTGTTTTGTTCTCTGTGGCAGGCACACCTCCATAATAGTCCATAAGGATGAGTTCTTCTATGGCAGTGGAGGAATCTCCAGCTGTGCACCTGTGAGTTAAACTTGATTTTCTGATAATTTTTTATAGGGTTACCTGATCAGAGTTGCTTGTGTTCCTGTGTTTTAGAAAAGTGGCAAGAGGCCTCTAAATTCAGATACATGCTGAAGCCAGGTGCTAGCCATGGTTTGCCAGGACACTTGAGAAAAAGGGAGCATGGACAGTGAGTTTAAGCCCAAGTAAATACAGGTTGGGGGTTACTTCTTCTGGTAGGGTCGATCTGTCCAGGACACCTTCTGCAGCTGCATTGCCAGAGTGACACCTGGTCCAATTCTGCATTAAGTTTTACATGCAGACTTTTAAAGATTAAAAAATAAACAAAACCATAACAATTTCTCAGACTTTTCTGTTCTTGGAGAGGCAGAACAGATGGGCCATTCTTCTAAAGCAGGACTTTGCCTTAGCTTAGAGCTTTCAGCCCAAAGACCCAAATGAAATTTGCATTTTCCTTCTCATTCTCTTGAGTGCAGAGCAGGGCAGGCCAGCAGGGCTTTTTGCTTGATAAACATACCAAAAGCTCCTCCTTTTGTGCCTGGATAAGCCACAATAGCTCTACTCAGGAGATTCCTCCAAAAGAATTCAGTCATTCAGTCTGATCATTTAACATTGTCTTCTGGCTGTTAATTTTTACAGGGAGGGACACTTCTTGGCCCCCCAGACACAGTTGTTGACCTGGGGAACACTGAAGTCACTGAAGAAATTTTTCTGGAGTATCTTTCCTCTTTAGGGGAATCTATGTTCAGGTAAGTAACAGCTTGTACTATAAAATCTGCACACCAAAAATAGTGCAGAATAGAGGAAGGTGTTATGAAACTAATCCAGCTCACAAAGCTTTTGCCTGCTTAGTGTATTACTTGATACTCTTCAAACACGAGATTGGAACTGACGCACCAACACACAAGGAGCTACCGGCTAGGCAACTCTCTGGTGTGCCAGCCTTGAGCTAGGCTGGGAAAGCATTCTTCTGGGAGCTCTTTCATGCTGCTTTTTGTAAAATTGAATAATGTCTGAAATGCCTTTGAGAAAATGAAATATCTCAGTAAATAGTGCTTTGCCCCATGAGTCATAGGTGAAGCACTGTAGTAAAGCTGCCAGCTTTTGGATGAGTAAAAGCAAGGTCTTGACTGTTAAAGAGTTTACTCTACTTCTCACAAGAATAGGAAACAGTAGCATTTAGTGTTCTGGCTGTCTTTCAACATCAATAATGCCTGTGATTTCTCCTTATTCCTTTTGTGGTTTTAACTGAAGAAACCTGACCTCACTTATCCTCCCAAGAACCATTGTATTAAAGTCAGTGATGCAGGGAGATGTCATTTTCCACTCTGATTCAATTGAGTTTCAAAGTGAATTGATGCCTGTATTTTATCTATTTCCCTTAGAATTCTTTGGGGGAGTGGAGGGAAGTGCTAATGTAAGGTGGTGTTCTTCATTAGGGGTCCAAGTTTTTCTGCTTCTAAGATTTATTGCTGTGTTTGTCTTTTTATGTTTCAATTGTTTTTTTCCTGTGGCACAGAGGAGAGTCTTACAATCTCTTTGAACATAACTGCAACACCTTCAGTAATGAAGTGGCACAGTTTCTGACAGGAAGAAAAATCCCTTCCTACATCACTGACCTTCCATCTGAAGTTCTTGCCACGTGAGTATGGATGCCCCTCCTCTCTGTAGCTGCTTCATGCTAATGCTTGAACATTTGACAGAGCCAGCAGTACCAGTTTCTGCTGGCTCTGCCTGAGAACCAGCATAAGATTAAGGAGAGGATGTTATTTACTTTACTTCAACACTTAAAACACTGTACAAGTGCCAACTGGCACTGGTATTATGAAGAAGACAGGAGAAGGTTGTTCTTCTACCTCTAACTTAAAGTAGTTCTTCTGTGATGGTCTCTTATATGTGACCAGACAAGCATAGAAAGTTTCAGAAAATGGTGCAAATTGTTTTGTTGGGTTTGTTTTTAACTCTCAGCTAGTGAGGATTCCAGTGGGATTATTTGAGCTCCATCATTTAGGATTTATTTTTCGTAACAATGGTATAGCACATTATTTGGAAGACATGTGTCTTCTACCCTGGGCTCTTACCACTTCAGATCTCTCAATATCAGATAAAGGCTAAAGCACAGTGAGTCATACTGAAAGGCAAACCAGGTGCTACAGATTGCATCAGAAATTAGTCTGTGAGTGTTAACCATTGTCTTTTAAGGATGCTAGAGGCTATTCTTCTGGCAGGCCTCAGTATTGATGTACTTAATGGGACACTGCAGTTCCATAACAGGGATTTGGTTTGCACACTTAAGTAGAATGAATTACCACAAGCTGGTTTCAGGTACAGTATTACCACATTAGCAGTCTCGGCATGTTGGGACTTGGAACTAGCTTATATAAAGTCATGTTTAAGTTTCTCGCTTATTGGACAGTGACCTCTCTTTACTGGGTTAAATTGGCTTGCTTTAGTTTGTAGTGGAAGTCTGTTCTTCAAATTTGCTTCCACAATGTTGGTTTGATTGCACACTATAGGAAGTGAGTGCACATCAGTAGTAAATTGGAACAGTCGTTAATCAAGTAAACTATTTGAGATCTTTATTTCTTTACCTTCTCAGACCTTTTGGACAAGCTTTAAGGCCCCTCCTGGACTCCATCCAGATCCAGCCACCCGGAGGAAATACCTTCAGCAGACATAATGGACAGAGCTAACAGGAGTGACCCAGTGTGCCCAGCCTCACCAGGCCTCTTCCTTTTTAAACACAAATCTACCAGATTCCTATTTTATAATTTCCCATCAGAATTAACGCTAAAGAAGTTACAAGACAAGATTTCAAATTTCCTAGGGAGAGGATTTCAGGGTGCATGTAAGACAGTGCTACCAAAAAGATTGCCATAATTTCTAATAGTATTACACTAATTTATAAAGGCTGTATTGTCCAAGTAGGCTGACACTTTCTACGTAACTCCTGTGCTGGTAAGTGGGAATTCATTCCACGAGCATTCAAGGGCCCATGACACAATTTGAAGTAAACAAGGGGATGTCCTAGCCATCCCTTGCAGACTGGCATCTCTTTCTCTTGTCACTGCCTGCCTAATGGGAGTATTTGCTGAAGTCAGTAGCAAAAAGGGCAGAGCGAGTATTGGTAGCCTAGGAAGTGAAGGTGTCCCAGGATTAGTCTTCTGCATATTTCACTGACATTAAGTTATTTGCTCAGGGGAAAAGCTGAATTAATCTGATTAGAATATATTCAGTGGCACAGCTATGTGGTGATGAAGCTGGACCATGTGTCAGTGTCACACTCAAAAGTTGAGACTCAGTGGGACTAGCTGTGGTGGGAGGGAAGCCGGAACTGAAGGTTACCAAGAACCTTGTAATGCCAGATCCAAGAGTTATGGGAAAGAAGCAGCTGAAAGAACAGAATCTCATGAGCAGAAGTGATAGAAACAAATTTCAGGTGAAAGTAAAATGAAGTGAAATGTTTCCTTTTCTCGCATGTAAGCTTATCAGCAGATATACAGAACCTTGTTAACTATTTACCTTTGCATAAGAACTGTGGGGTTTGGGGTTTTTTTTTTCCTTACTAAGCCAGAGTTACAGTACAGTGAGGCAGGAAAAGCACAGCAACTGCATGATAATATAAGTTGGACCAATTCTGCCTTCAATATCCAGTTGCAGACACAGTAGGAGTTCCAACTTTGATTGATACTGCTGCCCTTTCCAAAGCAGTCAAGCACATCAGAGAGGGCTCTGTTTAAGAGAAATAAGTGCTAGGTGTCCCCAAATGTAAAGAAAATGAAGAGTAAAAGTCAGCTTTTCCATGGAACAGCTGAGTGTATTGGGATACATGCAGAAGCAGTCCTGTCCTTAGACTGGCCTTAGATTGTATCAATACTGTATCTTCTAGTTTAAGATTTTTATAGCTTTGCAATTATTTGCAGTGGGAAAAGAACAGAGGAATGAAAGAATAGGCTCACAGTTTTCTTTTCATGCATGTATATACACTATTTTCCTGAAAAATTTTGTAGCAGTTCCATTTAGGAAGGAATACAAGAAAGACATTGGACAAACCCTAAAACATTGCTGATGCTCCATAAATGGGGTTTGCACGTCCCAGATGCTGCTGAAAAAGCATCTATGCAAATGTATAGCCCTTTGTCCAGTGCTTTGTTGGGGAAAGTGTTGCTGCAAGTTCGGTTCTGTATCTCAAACTTCCTGCGCTGGGAACTTCCTGCATACATAAGGATACGTTTTTTCTCTGCTGGGCTCTTTCTCCCAGAATAATACAGTTTGATAAGTTTTTCACACTGTTACTCTGTGTGGACTGTAATGGTTCATATGTTTGAGGGGATGGAATAGAGGAAAACTGCAGTTTAGCCACTGTCAAATACTCTGCACCTTGTGGAGCCACTGCACAGGTGGCAACAGGGTAGTGTCAGTCCATTCTGCAGTTTTGTGTATCTGCTCTCAGTGCACAGCAGTGGCCCCCGCAGCCCAGATGCTTCTTTTTCTTGTCATTCTCTGCTTGTGCCATCAACTTCTCCTTAAGCATTTCATTTGATGGACTGGCCTTGGCCTCAGAGATTACTGTAGCAGTTAGTGCAGATTGCTTTATACAAAAGTTTTCAATCATTCCCCCTCAAAATGTTCTGTTTGCAGAAAGCATTCTATAATAAGTCATTTTTGAATGCCTTTTGGTGCTCCTGGAGGAAGGATTGGTGTTTGTTTTCTGCTAAGCCAAGGCTTTGTTTTCCTGATTAGTATGTGTATCCTCTCCAGTCTTTCCCCATACCTGTTCTGTGAAGTGTAACCAGCCTTTCATCTTAATACACACATGACTGTGCCACAAAATGCTGTAGACCATATTAGAGATCTTGGAGCTTCCTCAGCTGACCAGGTATACTCGAGCTGATACAGTGCAGCCCAACATCTGTGTATGCTAGTTTGGGACCTGCAAGCAGTACAGCTCTGCTTGCTTGTCTTTCAGCAAACTATCACTTCAGGTGCAGCCACCTGCAGTGGAAGCACTGGTGCCATGGTTTCTGCCACCCAGTCTTGCACAATGAGGATATGCCCTGTATGTCCAGACGTTCTGAGCCTGGTTTCTACTTGGCTGCTGCTTCAGGACCTTTTACATCCTCTCAGGGGGAAGGAAATAAAAGGAAGACGTTCACCCCGTGCATTTTGCAATCTGCCTTTTCCCCTCCTGAGCAGCCCCTTTGCGGAGACAAGGCTCCTACTTTAAGGTCACTGGGTAAAATTTCACTCAGCCATATATAGTCTGCAATAGCCAGGGAGCTGCTGGGAGGTCTCCCGGGCTCAGGACCTACCGTTGTGTTTTGTGGCAAAAGAGCCGTAGGAGGGAATCCTGTTTGCTTGGTCTTACTGGGTAATGAGACCCCTGTACCCTGTAGGACTCTTAGGAAACACATTTTTCCAAAGATGGTTATGTATAAATTGCAGGACTGTGCCCCCAACGTTCCACCCAGCCGAATATAAACTAGACTGAGAAGTGTATGTAAGTGTATATAGGTGACAAACTTCAGCCAGCTGATTGACAAAGGGGCAGAGAAACTGAACTGAAAGGGAGCAGATCCCTTTGGCCCACACTTACTATTCTGTCTTGTATTGCTGGGGCTCCCCTGTGCCATTTGAAAAATGTTAATAATGTCTTTAGGCAGAAAGTGATGTTTTGATTTGTTTGTGGTTTTTTTCTATTACAATAAAAACAAATACAGCAAATTTTCCTGTTTGAATGCATGTGCCCACACAGCTGCCCAGCAAATGCAGCTGACCAGAAGTCATTGTCTTCACTCTGTTCCCAGATGGGAAGTGCAGGATGAGAAATTGTCCAAGCAGTTTGTGCCAGGTACTGCTACTGGATGCAGTGGTGGCTACTGCCCTTTGCTCAAACTGGCCACAGGTGGTTTGGGAAAACATTTCTTCTGCAAGTACTCCTGAGGCTTGACACAGCTCGGATGAGGTGAATGAGGGTGTTCTGTCAGCACAGGCTTTGTGCAGCCCTTGCTCATTTAAGTGCATGAAATGTTTAATGTCTGCTGTTGAAGAAGAGACCCAACAGAGTTTAAACATGGGAAAAGGCTCTAAGCTTTTCCTGATTGCCTTGATGCTGCTACTTTCAAAAGGAAAAAAGCAGTAGACTAAGAATGAGACTTCATGCTTAGGTTCCTGTGGAGCTGCAGAAGGGATTTCAGTGAGGATTATGTAGCACTGCCCAAAATACCTGACTCTGGGGAAGAAATTAATTCTGCTTGGTTCAGCCTTCTGCATGCTTACTGATGGCATCCAAACGATAAACAACCCAGTTTACTGCTTGTGTAACAGTCCATATCAGCTTAGTACAGAAGAGGTAACAGAAAGGGCTTTTCACTAAGGTGCTTGATTGTGGTTATTTTGGGCTGTGTTACTCAGATGTGGTGCTGGTTTGCTATTGAGTACTAGTACTAGCCTCACATAAAATACCTGGAAACAGGTAATTTTAAATTAAATTTTTTAAAATTCAGTTTTAAAATTAAAGGGAAAACTTGACCTTAATGGCAACCCTAGACAGAGTGTAAGCCAATGCTCACAGCAGCTTACGCTCTAGACTTCAAACAAAATACATGACTTGGCTGCCAGTAACAGAGATTTTATTCATGATGACAGCTGCTGCCTATCTGAGTAGCAATCAAGCCAACTTACCAAGAGTGCTTGAAGTGTGTTTAGTTCTGGACCCCTCGGTTCAGGAGGGATATTGAGGTGCTGGAGCAGGTCCAGAGAAGAGTAATGAGGCTGGGGAAAAGACTCAAGCACAAGTGCCATGAGGAGAGGCTGAGGGAGCTGGGGTTGTTTAGCTTGGAGAAGAGGAGGCTCAGGGGAGACCTTATCACCCTCTACAACTCCCTGAAAGGAGGTTGTAGTCAGGTGGGGGTTGGTCTCTTCTCCCAGGCAACCAGCAGTAGGACAAGAGGGCACAGACTCAAGCTCTGCCAGGGGAGGTTGAGGTTGGATATTAGGAAGAGATTTTATACAGAGAGAGTAATCAGGCATTGGAATGTGCTGCCCAGGGAGGTGGTGGATTCACCATCCCTGGAGGTTTTCAGGACGAGACTGGATGTGGCACTTCGTGCCATGGTCTAGTAGCCACGGTGGGGTTGGACTTAATGATCTTTGAGGGCTTTTCCAACTGGGGTAATTCTATGATTCTATGAAGTGCAAAGTATTAAATAACCAGAACGGCCACAGTGGTCCTGTTCTCAGAGCTAACCTGGATGAAGGAACAAGCAAGCTCTATACAGCTGTGCACTTCACCAAAAGGCAGACTTAGGGAAAACAAGATGTCCCAAGTCCTCACCAGCTGATACCAAGTGGCTGCCAAGGTGCTGGGAGAGGTGTTTTGACTTGAAGAGTTTCTAAAGCAGCATGACAAAATAAGCTGGGGAAAGCACAGCAGGTAGGTCAGGTTTTGGAAAGCTCTCCTGGTAGCATAAACCTAATGGCGCTGCAGGAGTGCAAAAATGTGAATGCTGACCCATATTTCAGCAGTCTTCCCAATTCTGGAAAGTGCCCCAAGGTGGCACTGCTGCCTTGCAGCACAGGGATGCCTGGGAAGAGCAGCTCCCGTTTTTGGGATGTCTATAGTAATGTCAATGACAGAGGCAAGGAAGGGATGTCTCTCCCAGACGAGCAAGCTGCACGCAGGAGCAGCTGGAAGACAAGACCATGGGGCAACTTGGGCTACAGCAGGAAGCCAGTGCTGCTACACACAGCCAGGGCTGCAATAGGTGTGAGTTGGCAGGTTTTTCTAACTGCACACCTCCTCCACCCAGACATGGCATGACTTCTACCATGTTGCAGTTTATGAAAATGAAGGCTTGCATTTCTGAAACCCTGGGAGCTCACTGTGGATAGGACCCCATGGCTGTCTTTTGAGAGCCCTGGGCATTAGCTCATGGCTCTGCTGCATGAGAGAGCAGTTAGAAACATAAAAATCATAGAATATTAAGGGGTTGGAATGGACCTTACAGATCACCTTGTCCCAACCCCCTGCCATGGGCAGCAACCC